GAACGGTTCATCTAGCGTGTGTGAGTCAGTGACCGGGATAGTGCGTGGGAGGTGCGCAGTGACATATTCCCTTAGGTTGTGGAGTTGGCCACTTGGGGGGACTAGGTTGTATAGATTTGAGTAAAAAGCATTGAATGCCTTTGCTATATCATCGGTGGTGTTACACGCCTTCCCTGTGCCGTCGGAGACCTTGTCAATGAAGGATCTCTGTTGTTTAGCTTTCAGAGCCTTGGCCAATAATTTCCCACTCTTGTTACCTTGAGCGTAAAAAGTGCTCCTTGTCAATTGTACTGATCTATATGCCTTTACAGCTAGTAACGATCTTAGTTCTATGCGTAGTGCAGTCAAGGTCTGAAAGTTGTCGCTAGTGGGGTCTTGTTTGTGTTTTGTTTCGGCTACCTGTATGGCCTCTGTCAAGGTATCAATTTTACGTGATCTTTCCTTTTTAATCCTAGAACCCCACTTAATAAAGATGCCCCTGATGACCCCTTTGTGGGCCTCCCAGACCCACGAGTCCGATACCCCATTGTTTCTGTTTTCAGTAAAATAATCGTTCAAAGTCTGTCGTAGGTCTACCAGTACCCTGGAGTGCAGAATTATTAGGCAAATGAGTATTTTGAACACATCATCCTCTTTATGCATGTTGTCTTACTCCAAGCTGTATAGGCTCGAAAGCCTACTACCAATTAAGCATATTAGGTGATGTGCATCTCTGTAATGAGAAGGGGTGTGGTCTAATGACATCAACACCCTATATCAGGTGTGCATAATTATTAGGCAACTTCCTTTCCTTTGGCAAAATGGGTCAAAAGAAGGACTTGACAGGCTCAGAAAAGTCAAAAATAGTGAGATATCTTGCAGAGGGATGCAGCACTCTTAAAATTGCAAAGCTTCTGAAGCGTGATCATCGAACAATCAAGCGTTTCATTCAAAATAGTCAACAGGGTCGCAAGAAGCGTGTGGAAAAACCAAGGCGCAAAATAACTGCCCATGAACTGAGAAAAGTCAAGCGTGCAGCTGCCACGATGCCACTTGCCACCAGTTTGGCCATATTTCAGAGCTGCAACATCACTGGAGTGCCCAAAAGCACAAGGTGTGCAATACTCAGAGACATGGCCAAGGTAAGAAAGGCTGAAAGACGACCACCACTGAACAAGACACACAAGCTGAAACGTCAAGACTGGGCCAAGAAATATCTCAAGACTGATTTTTCTAAGGTTTTATGGACTGATGAAATGAGAGTGAGTCTTGATGGGCCAGATGGATGGGCCCGTGGCTGGATTGGTAAAGGGCAGAGAGCTCCAGTCCGACTCAGGCGCCAGCAAGGTGGAGGTGGAGTACTGGTTTGGGCTGGTATCATCAAAGATGAGCTTGTGGGGCCTTTTCGGGTTGAGGATGGAGTCAAGCTCAACTCCCAGTCCTACTGCCAGTTCCTGGAAGACACCTTCTTCAAGCAGTGGTACAGGAAGAAGTCTGCATCCTTCAAGAAAAACATGATTTTCATGCAGGACAATGCTCCATCACACGCGTCCAAGTACTCCACAGCGTGGCTGGCAAGAAAGGGTATAAAAGAAGAAAATCTAATGACATGGCCTCCTTGTTCACCTGATCTGAACCCCATTGAGAACCTGTGGTCCATCATCAAATGTGAGATTTACAAGGAGGGAAAACAGTACACCTCTCTGAACAGTGTCTGGGAGGCTGTGGTTGCTGCTGCACGCAATGTTGATGGTGAACAGATCAAAACACTGACAGAATCCATGGATGGCAGGCTTTTGAGTGTCCTTGCAAAGAAAGGTGGCTATATTGGTCACTGATTTGTTTTTGTATGTCAGAAATGTATATTTGTGAATGTTGAGATGTTATATTGGTTTCACTGGTAATAATAAATAATTGAAATGGGTATATATTTGTTTTTTGTTAAGTTGCCTAATAATTATGCACAGTAATAGTCACCTGCACACACAGATATCCCCCTAACATAGCTATAACTAAAAACAAACTAAAAACTACTTCCAAAAATATTCAGCTTTGATATTAATGAGTTTTTTGGGTTCATTGAGAACATGGTTGTTGTTCAATAATAAAATTAATCCTCAAAAATACAACTTGCCTAATAATTCTGCACTCCCTGTACTGTATTAACTCAATTATCTCTAGGTGAAAAATAACATAATTTACTGGTAACCCAAAAGTACCCCAAAAACTCACATAAACCCCACACAAGGTATATCCCCTGATAGTCCCGATCGGAGGGAGCAACATATTTAAAAATCACCCAGATTGATTCAAGGGCTTAAGATTTTTATGGAAGTCTTTTATTTGACCGACCGCACGCATTGTCTCATGCCCAAAATAGTTCCAGAGAATCAGGGCTTGCGGTCAGTCTAGTTTGGTAGTTTAAAAATGAATAAACTACCGAATATAATCAATTTTCTTACCCTGGAGCTTGTTCCCCTCATCCAGATGAACGATCCTACCAAACAGTGCCCTTCTACCTTGTATAGAACCAAACGCAGGCGATGATGTAAGTCCAGCGGTGTTCGGGAGTTTCTGTGTCCGATTTTAATTCCATGAGATTCATGCCCAAACACTGCTGCCTGCGTTCATGCGAACAAGATGGCCGACACTTCGTGGTTGTCCATAGGAATTGTGGACACCCAGATGAACAATTAGAACACTGCGGTGAGAAATGTTCCAAGTTGTTAACAGGTGTTAACAAGCTCCCGGGTGGTTCCTGGTTCGTGCGGTTGTTCGGTAGTCGAGGGGAAATTCAAACTACTGAACAGAACAGCCAAGAAAGCACGAACAAGTCTTTTGTGAACCTTTGTGCCTGGTCCATAGTCCTGAGACAGGAGGCTGGCAAACAGGCCCCTCCAAGAACACGTGGCAAGGTTACTTTCGCCACACATGGGTTTCGTAGTTAACAGACAGACATTGGCACTCTGCTCCTCGCAGACTGTCCAGTTCCTCAGTTTCGAGATCGACTCTGTTGAACTGTGTACTGCACCTTCCGGCCTCAAAGATTACATCGCTCCGGAAAGTGTTCTTCGTATGGACACAATTCCCCTCCGGATGCTTCCCTGTATAGTGGATCTTCTGTCAGGCGATATTTCCAGGATCACAACGCCTGAAAACGAACGGTCTATGTTCCGCACAGTCCTACGACCACTGGATACCACTTTCAGCAGACGTGAGGACAGGGCTCCACTGGTGACTCCTACACATGAAAGCCTAGAATGACAAAGCGATCTTTGCCTCCTCTCCGGATTTCATAGTGGAATCGAACACCAGCCTCTGGAGCTGGGGGGCTCACTGCACAGATTCCTCTGGCGGGGGGGGAGGGTGGCTTTGCGGGATGAGGAGGCCAACCTCTATATCAACTGCCTAGAATTGGTCGCGGGATCCTTTGCAATTTGCAGTCTGGCCAAAGACATGTAAAACTGCTGCATCCTACTCCGCATGAACAATGTCTCTGCAGTGAAATATATAAATCGCCTAGGCGGAGACAGATCCCAAGCCCTCACAGAGGCCACCGAAAACATCTACAGATTCGGCCCCTCGCGCAACATCACGTTGAAAGCAGAATATCTACCTGGGATTACCAACCTGACGGCAGACTGGTTCTCTCTCTACTGGTGAGACAGAGGCGACAGGAAGCTCAACACATCTGTATTTCAGGAGTTGAAACACCTCAGGAACCCACTTCACCTGGACTTGTTTGTCTCCCGGACCAATCACCAGCTACCGAACTACTACAGCTGGCTCCCGGATACATGGCAGTGGACGCGTTTCTTCAACCATGGCAGAGACACAGAGCGTATACATTCCCTGATTACCTTTACCAGTATTCTCCCACAGATTCTACATTTGTAATAGGCTCAGGCCATGTCAATCCCAAATATGGATTACACTGACGCCTTGGTGTGTATGTGTTTGTCAGTGAGAATGTATGTGTGCTTTTTAGTGTATATGTGTTTGTCTGTGTGTCTGTCAAAGAGTGTGTGTGTCAGTGTGTATATGTGTGTCAAGGCTTGTGTATGTATATGTAGTGAGAATCTGAGGGTGTGTCAGTATGTGTATATTGGGGTATGTGTCAATGGGTTTATGTGCCAGTGTGTGTGTGTGTGTATCTGTATGTCAGATACATACACACTGGCCCATACAAACACAGATACACACAGTGTGTCAAGGTGTGTGTATGTGCATCTTTGTGTCAGATTCATACACACTGACACACAGATACACACACACAAACACAGATAGATGCACACATACACAAAGATACATATTGTGTGTCAAGGTGTGTGTATATATATCTGTGTTTCAGATACATACATATATACACACACACACACACACAATGGGGAAAAAAATATTTTATTACCGAACCCCTGCTGTTCACACTATGGTGAAGCTGCAACCATGGAGGGGGGAGGGCTGCCTTGACAGCATTCAATAAAAACACCTATAACTTATAGTAACCATTTTTTTACATGTGATATTGTTTTCTTTCGAATGTGTAGTGAAAATTAGCAATTGACCTGCAGCTAAAAGTGCAGACTTCAATAGAAGTTTTATAATTTAGGGAAGAAACACCTCCCCGCTTGCCATTCAGCTCCACTATGAACATGCATTCCTGCGGCTCCAGAACAGAGGTCCCTCAATGAGACGCCTCTGATTGGAGTATCACCCAGTGTCTGGGCTGGGGAAAAAGCGCAGGGTTTGCAAGAGATGAATACAAGAAAACTGCAACTGTTGCAAGCTGTTATTAGATGTACCACCAATTAAAAAATGCATACATAATGTTTTCATGAAGGAGTGTATCTAATAAATTCATAAAAAAAATAAAAAAAAATTTCAATGGAGTGTTCCCTCAAAGAGTTAATGCTGCAGAGGAAAATATCAGTGAGTTTTCTCACAGTCCCATCTTCCGGCATATCACATTACAATGGAATTTCCGGTTCATGCATGTGACTATATAGGGTGTTGACTTTCTCATGTTTTCCTGCTCCAGGATCTCAGGTGGGTTTAGAGCTGGACAGGGCATTGTATGTTTAATTTCTCCTGTGCCCTGATTCTGCATCTAGTTAATGACTAACGGTGGCTTATTCATTTAATATCCCCTTGGATGTACAGAGCAGCAGAGGTTCAATGTAAACTGAACTTTCCCCGCTGGCACAAGATCATGAGATTCAAAATGTTAATATTCCCTAGGTCTGCCAGGGATTATACTGAATATGCCCCCTTGCCCAGCAGGGGTTACTTTTATTGAGGCAATAATCGTGCTTAATTCAGTTGCTTGGTTTAAGTAACAAGCTTGTTATCTGCCATTATTGATTAACCTTTGTAGTCATTGTTTTACAATATTAGCAAACAAGGTTAGTGCCAACGTCTCCAGCAGAAAGAATGGTCAGTCCAGATCCCGGATCTTATAACATCTTCTGCAGGAAGTAATGGGTTAAACATAGAAGGTTGGATGAAGACCAGTTATTAAAGCTCCAACTATATAAAGCACTTTAGCTTGCTGAAATACTGTTTGTTTTTTATTGCCAATCACTTTTTTTATTGAGCCATGTGCCCAACAATAGAATATAAAAACACACAATTAAAGGACCACTCTAGGCACCCAGACCACTTCAGCTTAATGAAGTGGTCTGGGTGCCTGGTCCAGCTAGGGTTAACCCATTTTTTAATAAACATAGTTTCAGAGAAACTGCTATGTTTATTAATGGGTTAAGCCTTCCCCCTATTCCCTCTAGTGGCCGTCTCACTGACAGCCACTAGAGGCGCTTGCGTGCTTCTCACTGTGATTTTCACAGTGAGAGCACGCAAGCGTCCATAGGAAAGCATTGTAAATGCTTTCCTATGCGACGGGCTGAATGCGCGCGCAGCTATTGCAGCGCGTGCGCATTCAGCCCAGGAGGAGGATCGGAGGAGGAGAGGAGGCAGAGAGCTCCCCGCCCACCGCTGGAAAAAGGTAAGTTTTTAACCCTTTCCTCTCCCCAGAGCCGGGCGGGAGGGGGTCCCTGAGGGTGGGGGCACCCTCAGGGCACTATAGTGCCAGGAAAACGAGTATGTTTTCCTGGCACTATAGTGGTCCTTTAAGTCAGCGCTTAATAACAGAAAATAAACAACAGGACAGCAACGCTGCTGTTTATTGGAATAGGAAGTGGCAAGTTTTTAGTGAGATATCACACCTAACAGGGGCAGTTTGCCTTGTCTTCTATGCACATGCAGAGACTCCATCTGCTATGAATGACCCTCACCATATCCCATAAGTAGGGATTGTACCACTGTATGAGATATACACTAAAGCTGGTCATAGCTCTGTTACATGTGAGTGAATATCATTATTAGTCACATGCGGTCACACTAAGCCTTGACATATTGCACTATAAGGTTTGCCTTGTCTTCTTCTATCGACATACGGAGACCAAAGACACTCAGATCTACCAGATCCCCCAAGCATAAAGAACCTAACAGCTGCATTTATCTCCTGATAAAAAATTTTTATAGGTGACAAATTTGCATTGGTGGAACAAGACTATTTAGTAGTACCTGTCCTTTTCTGTGGCACAGCCCTTCTCTCTCTCTGTCAACAATAGAGTATGCCAATTCTACAGTGAATACAAGGCAACTGTGAGAAGCACGAAAACAAATGTCAAAAAAAGCTAACCTCATTTTAGAATACTATAACACTGAGTGGTACTAACTGGAACAGACTGGAGGTATGGTGGTTGAGGCTTCATACCAGAATGTTACAAAATGCGCAAGCAGTTTACGCAATACAAAGTCCAATAATAATAATAATAATAATAATAATAATATTTGGGGGTGGGTAAATGCAATAAACGGAGAATAACTAGTGATGGAGCAGAGTATACAGGGCTAGGTGCTAGACACACAACAGAAATATACACGGTATAGCACTCATATTTAATAGAGCTATAAATCAGCTCTGAGTAAAAGAGCATACAGCGGTACAATCCCCACTGATAGATACGTAGCTCTAGGGGTCAATCTCCTTGGCTACAGAAGAATATACCAAAAAAAAGGTTTAAAAAAAAAAATTATATATATATTTTTATATTCATTCATATATTCATGACCTGATCCTGATGAAAGTCCCAAATGTGGACTGAAACGTCAGTCATTTTTTAACATGGAATATTATCAACTTTTGAAAAAAAAAAAATTAGTGCTGATAGATAGATATAGATATATATATATATATAGATATAAAAAATTATCTTCTCCAGGGTAGTCATGTCAGGTAAGTACATAACATATAGGTGTGCCAGGAACTAAAAAAAAAAAAAAAAAACTTAAAAGCATAAAATGTTTAATAAACAAAATAAGTGAAAGCTAAATATACTTTGATGCTGAAAACAAATATTTAAAAAAAAACAAACAAAAAAAAAAAAAACACACTTGTATTGACAACTGGAGGTGTAAACAGCAAGAGCCTGGCCTATAAGGTTTTATATAGGGTATTGGCGAATTCAAATCAGACAAATTGGCACTAAAATTATGTCATTATCTTTAATAAATATCTGAAGATCTAAAAAGTTAGTTTCAAGTGTATTGAATTCTGGTGAGAATAATGCCATTGTTACTGGTGTTAACGTGGTTTTTAAAAAAAAGGTTGAAGATTTTCTGCTGTTCTGTTCCAATAATAAATAGATTGTCAATATATCAATAGTAGGAGACCAGGTTCAAACGTCAAACATGCTAACCCCACACGGAGAGATATAGAAGCTGACAATAGGTCACCCAGGTGGGTTTTGTTAATTTCACGTTTTTCTTCCAATGGAGATACTGACAAAACCTACTGGCTTAAACAACAGCTTTAATATCAGGTTTCATAACGGAGTATACTGCAACATTGTAAGATAAAGAATCCACTGGGAGCTTAGCAGACAAGAGAGACAAAGTATAAATTGAGAAGAGAAAAAAAATATATCATGTAGACCCATCATCCAACACCAGGGTAGGGGCTCAGCCTATGCTATCCAAGCAGGATATACTACAGCGGTAAGGTAGGAGTTCCATAAATCTCAATTGGTCTCCCCACCCACCCACTTTGGATTTTTTTCCAGATATTCAATATTTGCCAAAGCCTTACCATTCATACATCAGTTCTCTACAATTAGAAATGTAATGAATACAGTTGTAACCTATGGATAGGGACATGGGTGCAGCAAATGTCAGAATAAGCTCTTATTGGGTAGACAACTTGCATTCACAGATGAAGGGTGTTCACTTCTATATATTGTTTTTTCTAGGAATGGATGTCAATGCCTATCTCCACCGCATTGGTATTACAGCTACAACAGCGCCCTCTGTGGTAGCCTTGCGCGAGTTACACCGCCAGCACTTGCTATCTATTCCTTTCGAGAGCCTCAGTATCCACTGCGGTGAGAAGATTATTCTGGACCATGGTCTTCTGTATGAAAAACTTGTAGTGAAAAGACGTGGGGGCTTCTGTTATGAAAACAATGGCCTTTTCCTTTGGGTGCTTCAAGTATTGGGCTACAAGCCACGTGTGCTGTCCGCCAGAGTAAAGAACAGATTTACGGGTGTGTATGGCCCTCCATTCGATCACATGATTCTGACAGTAGAACTTGAGGGAAGGCAGTGGCTTTGTGATGTAGGATTTGGAGAAGGGATCAGGGAACCTTTACCTTTAGAAGCAGGATGGGAAGAGGAGCAGGATAATCTGGTGTACCGGCTACGAGAGGACATGGGGGAATGGTTCTTGGAAAAAAAGAAAGATGGCAATTGGAGTTCACTTTATAAGTTTACTCTAGAAACAAAGCACTTTGAAGAATTTAAAGAAATGTGTGAATATCATCAGATGTCCCCCAGCTCCATCTTTTTCTGCAAGTCTTTTTGCTCTTTCCAGCTGCCCCGGGGAAGGCTAACCTACATGGGACACAGACTGATCCAAACAGAGTTTACAGAAAATGGTGAGGTGGTGAAGACTACGCAACAGCTCAAGGACAATGAAATCCTTGATGTTCTCAAAGACCAGTTTGGGATTGTCTTAAGCAGAAAGTTTGTCCCAAAAGATGAAGAAATATTACCCCCAACATTTGATTAATTTGCTAATCATTTTATAACAAGCTGCAAAAATTCAGTTTCAATTATTTCTGATGACTTAAAGGTAGGCAGACAATGTAAAAGAGCAGCAGGAAATGCTAGCAGAATGCTTGGTTGTATAGGGAGAGGTATTAGCAGTAGAAAGAGGGGAGTGCTCATGCCATTGTACAGAACACTGGTAAGACCTCACTTGGAGTATTGTACACAGTACTGGAGACCGTATCTTCAGAAGGATATTGATACCTTAGAGAGGGTTCAGAGAAGGGCTACTAAACTGGTTCATGGGTTTCAGGGTAAGACTTACAAGGAAAGATTAGATAGGGGAGATATGATAGAAACATTTAAATACATAAAGGGAATAAACACGGTAAAGAAGGAGACTATATTTAAAAGCAGAAAAACTACCACAACAAGAGGACAGTCTTAAATTAGAGGGGCAAAAGGTTTAACAAATAATATCAGGAAGTATTACTTTACTGAGAGGGTAGTGGATGCATGGAACAGACTTCTAGCTGAAGTGGTAGAGGTTAACACAGTGATGGAGTGGGATAGGCATAAGACTATCCTAGATTTAAAAGATAATTTCATTAAACAAAAATGGGAAAGACTAGATAGATGGCTCTTATCTGCCATCACATTCTATAGTGGTTATGCCTTGACTGCCCCTTTAAAGATGGCTGCCATAATGCAATAGCAAGACAGGAGATGCACTGAAAATTGGTATTTTTTTTACTTGTTTGTCTTATTGGCTAGTATCCATAGAGGCTATAATACGTGTAATCTTGTGTGGAATAATAGATTTTAAAAAAGGATTACAATTTCTTTAGATTTATATCACCCTTGGTCTTTTTGAAGCCTCTCGCTAAGAAGACGCACACAGATCTGCTACCGCCCTATAATTCCCACACACCCCACTGTGGTATATACTGGAACATCCCGCACAATGCTATTTTGCTACAGTAACACCATGCTGTATACCATCACTTTACACTATTTTCATTGCCCTTTTAGGCCAATGGAAGTTATCGTGATAACTGTACATTTAATATGCTAAATCAGCTTAAAGAACAAAACAAAAAAAAGCACTCTGGTTCTCTTGGGCATATGTGACAATGACAGCGCCCGGCTGCAGTCACTATATCTCTGGGAGGTATAAATATATTTTATTAGTTCCAATAGATGTGTGCTGGACATAATCCTTGATTAGTTCACCAATGTTCATCTAGCCTCTTACAAGGAGTGCTTGGACACAAAAGGAGTTACTAATGTAAAACAACAGGCAATGAGGCTCACACACGTACTGTGTCCAATGTCAGCCTGACTTGGCATGGCTGCAGCAGAGATTTGGTTACAGGTGAAATAAAGTTATCGATTAATGCTGCATCAGACTGTAAGAACAAATACTGGCAGGTGAAATAAGATTTGCAGGAGTTTTTCCCCTCCCCATGCATTACATGGAGTAGCACTGTCTGAGATTAATACTCGATGCAGAGGGTATTCTAACAAACCCCTGTAATTATCCATGTCACAGTTATTTTCCCTGCATTCGGTAAATTGGCCTACACCGACCACCCCCCTGGCTCATTTAACTTCAAAGATAACCACAAACTTAAGTGCCATCTTGTCTCCCCAGGCAGCGGTACTTAGTCGTTGAGTGTCTGGAACTCTAAAGCAGACACTCAACCCCGCGAAAACCAGTGATTTTGTACGAATGCCTGCTTCCTTTCATGACAAGCCAAGAATGCAGTTCGATGGGATTGTTCACACAAACAAGGCGAACAATCGCTACCTATGAGCCAGGGGAACCGTTCGACTTTTGGAACGCCCGAAGCCAGGCGCCACGTGTGCGGTTGGTCAAAACTTTACCCCGGTGGCGATTTGGCTGCGTACGTGGGATCTGAGCGTTATTTGGACACTTTGGGCGCGCATATCTAGACTGATCTGGGAATATTGAGACGTGTGGTGGTTCCTATGTGTATTTTTCTGTGTTTTATATTTTGTACCTCTAGTGCCCTGGAGATAATTAGTTTAAGCAAAGTACACTAATTATCCTGGGTATGTTTTACTATGTTTTTGGTGAAGACCCCATCCTGGGAATATGTGCATAAAAGCAGGCCATAACACATTCCAGTTGTACTCTTCATCAAGTCTTGACTGGTGTTTGGGTATGCGAGCCGATTAATTTTTTCCACGACTATAGGATTTAGGGAGTACGAATCAACATACTATGGGAACGAGCTATAATCACTTAAGCCTCTAACAGTCCAGGAATGTGCAAACGAACGTACTTTACGAAGTACATGGGGTTCGTTACAGGTAGTAATAGGTTTAACACCGTGCTGTATAGCTGGGACAGTTTTACTTCAGGACCATCTGCTTGTTAATTTGTAGTATTTTTATTAGTTGTCGTACATATTTGTCTAACCATTTCACACCAGCCCAACTCATTGTGCATGTATGGGAACCTGTAAAGGATCCTCCATTAACCACAGATTTGTAATCTTGTACACAAGTACATTTTTTCTTGCACTACAGCTACTGTTATAATGCTTTGAAGTAGCACAGTCTTATTATTGCTGCTCTTCTTTAACCTCTTAAGGACACATGACATGTGTAACATGTCATGATTCCCTTTTATTCCAGAAGTTTGGTCCTTAAGGGGTTAAAAGAGCTTGCGGTTTTGCTACCAGCAGATAGATTTGGATAAATATTTTGCGTGATCCAATGAGGACCTGCCCTATCCACATTAGTATAAACAAGAGCAGATGAATATAAACCAGAGTAATATAGAGATTCACATCCCAAATAATAAAAGCTCTAACCAAGGAGAATACAGTAAAAATAACAGAACATGCTTTAATGATCAAATGCCCACAGGATGCATGTCATTCCAAGCAGGTCCCAGTGGAGAAAAACACAGCTTAAATCTGCAGTAAATAGAACCAGATGCTCCCTGCAGCCAAACTCGGTGGGCGCAGAGGGAAAGGTTGAGGGAACGTGTGTTCTGGGTACCGGAGGAGCACCCACCCTGTAACAGGGAAGCCGTTACTACTTCAACCACTAGGGGATGGGCTCCAGGCTCCACTCCTCTCCTCCCCCCCCCATGAAGTATAGTCGAATACCAGCTCCAGCTCTATTGCAGCCAACATAAAAGGGAACACTAGGAGGACCAATAAAATTGTAACCAGTTAGAATATCACCTTGGAGTGTGTAGAATCCCCTAGCGCTGTCCTGCCATTCAGTTTTAATGCTTAACAAGAGTGCCAAGCAGCCTCCCCCTCTGTGCTGCATGGGTTAAGGAGAGCACATGCTAACCACATTCAGCCTATCAGACTGCTAATATGACTAATAGGAAGTATATAATGTGCTTGGCTAGACTCTAGGAGCTAGGGACCATTATTTAGCATTAAAGTGATTGAAAATGGTTTAGTACTGGGAGGGGGCTCAAAGCACTCACGCCAACTCCGTGAGATGAAGTGGTTATGGCACCTACAGTGTCCCATGTGCTATAACTGCTTCATGCCTTAGCGTATATTCAATCATATCTTGGGGAAATGGGGTGGGGAGAAATAACACCACTCAGACGCACACTTTGTGCATGTGGGTTTTGGCCTTACTATTTCATATTTTTTGCAAGCGCTACTCTTTAATTTTTCCACAGCAAATAAGTATTTTGCAGATTGATGTACTGTAAGCCTGCCTCCTCACTCCATATAAGGAGACTTCTTTATCAAAGATATGTACACAGCGTCTGCCACAGACTGAGTGTCTTAATTCACAACCTGGCCTGCAGCCATTCTGAGAAACTGCAGCCTGGTAATCCTTGAGTGTCCTCTCCTAATGCTGTTCAAAATCACTCACTTTGACAGTGGCTGAGCTGTACACATACATTTAATAAGGAAGTATTTTAATGGAGTGAGTGTGTGGCTAAAAAGGCAGGCTTATGGTGCCATATTCTGCAAAACATTTAATTTTTGAACAAAAAAAAATAAAATTAGATTTTTGTGCATTTAAATACAATTTTATTGCATTTTATTGAGGTTTTGGCCTTATTAATATTATGTATGCACCTGGGGCCCCAAGGCATGCCCTGTAACATGGGTATACACTGGTTTGCTATATTTAGATTAGTCTGCCCGAATCCCATCACCTTTTAAACAGATTTCATTTAGAGACTATGTGCATAACCAAAGCCTAGGTATGGAGGCAGGTTATAAATAAAGCCCAATTATACATTGCCAAAACAGGTTTGCAATTCACAACCCTGATCAAACATTGCGTAATAGACAATAAGCTGTAGTGACTATAGTAGAAGACTGGCGTATGGCAATCGTAACATGATCAGAAAGCCTGGTCCAACGTTAGATCCAGAACTGAACCTGCTACAGCATCAAGTCCTTCACGTCACCATGCTCCTACTGGTACCTCCAAGTTCTGGAGAGTAAAGCTGTACACCACAAATTCAACACTCCCTCTAGTGAGTCACTTCCTGGGAAGATTGAGACACTAGGATGCAAGGCCACCACTACTCACTCTCATGGTTCTCTGTTGGCATTTTCCACTACGGCTTGGGTCATGCTGCCCTATAATCCTTCATTCACCTCTCTGCAAGTTCCTGGTGTGGCAATGGAGAGTGGATACCATCGAGGGTTAGACCACCCTTAAAAGGGAGAAAGCCCACACCCACAATCTGCTACCGAATGTAACAAGTTCAAAGTGCTTGACCTCCAACTTTGGATCCAGACCTGAACTGCATCCGTCCCTACTCTAAGCTAGCTGTGCCCTCCAGGAGCTAGCCCAGCAACCTGGCACCTAGGCACTACTTACCACCTATATAGTGTGTATATAACATGGGTTTGGTGGTCAGTGGTCACCTAGACTCCCAGATCCTTTCCAAGCCATAAAGCACATTTATGGAAACCCCAGATATGGCAATTCTAGGTCACCACACACCAACTGGCAAGTAGTAAATTTGTTCATTTGAGCTTGTCTAGTAAGTAT